TGAGAGATATATATATATATATATATATATATATATATATATATCCCACGCATTTCAAACCACACTGCTAATATAATGGTCATTTTTAATTAATGACATTTAAGAATAAAAAAAAATTATTAATATATATAAAATAATTATTAATATATATCGATTAATATATATCTGCAATAACACGCTGATTATCATCATCAAAATTGTAAAGTTAATTTATATATATGCAATACATTGCAGCAGATCATGTTAAATAATTAGTGTCTTTGAAGAGCCAATTGCACTTATGAAAATTCAATTTTATAAAAACATAAAACATGCACTGTATAATATATAAAAGTAGTGGCTGCTGTTACTGCACAGAGTTCTTCGAGTTGTTATTGCTTGTTAAGGTTACACGCATATTGTACCGTAATGTCAATATTTATATTTTTCAAATTTGACTGTGCAGGTCCATATCCTCCATATCCTCAACAAAATCCCGGATATCCACCACCACAGGAAGGCTATCCGTATCCTCAACAAGCTCCAGGCTACCCACCGCCTTACTCCGGTGGGAATCCGCCAGGTATATAAATGCGATTTAAAAATCTTATTTAAACAATCTTAAATTGTTGCGATTATTCGTTTATCGCGCGTATGTTTATAGGTCCAGGATTTATACCTCCACCATACGGTGAAGCGCCACCGCCAGTTGGTCCAGAATTTGGAGGAATCCCTCCAACAGGTCAACCAGGAATGTACGGAACCGGCTATGGGGAAGATCCTATGCAGGATGAGATCAAAGGATTTGAATTTAATGACAAAACTATTAGGAACGGCTTTATCAAGTAAATATCACCTAAAATTTAGTATGCTTCAAAATATATGAATAATAGATACGTATATAAATATATACTTTTATTTTTTATTTATAGGAAAGTGTATAGCATTTTATTGTGTCAGTTGGTCATCACATTTGGAATGATTAGCCTATTTATTTATCATGACAAAACACGAATGTGGGTCCAGCGACACACAGAGCTGTTTTGGATTTCTTTCGCTATAACGATTGTTCTAATCATATGTATGGCTTGCTGTACCACTGTGAGACGCAAAGCTCCAATGAATTTTATATTCTTGTTCGTATTTACATTGGCAGAGGCTTTTTTACTATCCACAGCTGCATCGACATATGACTCTAAGGAGGTAAGTTGTATGAAATGATTTTAATTCCGAATGCTATACAAGTATGTAAATAAATTTTGTATTACGTCACATTATGCAATTATGACATGTAACAAACTTGACATCGAGATATTTACATAGAGATTTTTTTTGCAGGTCATGCTAGCCGTTGGAATTACAGCAGTAGTTTGTCTAGGATTGACGTTATTTGCATTTCAAACAAAAATCGATTTTACTGGATTACATACTGTATTGTTTGTCGCTGTGCTCATTTTACTCGTTTTCGGTATGATCGCGATATTTTGGCCCGGAAGAATTATGACTTTGGTCTACGCTTCGTTGGGCGCACTAATATTTTCTCTATATCTAATTTACGATACGCAAATGATGATTGGCGGAAAACATAAATACTCTATCTCGCCAGAAGAATATATTTTCGCTGCATTGAGTCTGTATTTGGATGTCATCAACATCTTCCTCTATATTCTAACTATTATTGGCGCTTCGCGAGACTAATTGATGTCAATTACAATAATTTTAATTGTGTTACAAATACTATGGAATACACTGTCAGTTTTTACTTACCGCCGTCCTGCTCTTGCTCTCCACATAGTTATCCTGAGAGCACACTGTAGGCGAAGGAACGATGAAGCGTGAAGGAGCATAATCTTGGCAACAGTTTAATTTTTATGAAGATAGCTTTTACAAATTTTCAAATATTAATATATATACAGACAGCACGCTTGTATTCGGAGCCTTTTGTCTAACTCCATAAGGCGTAATACAACAAAATATTTTCCACGTCTTGGGAAGAAAACCAAATATAAATTCTTATAATTGCTAATATATTTAGAATAGTATGTCATTGCCATTATTGTTGTCATAAAAATAATCAATGTTATTTCTTTGTCGATTTCATTTTCAATATTTTTCACCAGAATTCTTTATTGTAAGAAGCAGTAGTCAAATTTGTATGTCTTATTTTATTTATTTTTTTAAAAGCTCTTAGATATTTTTCAATATGATATATACACATATAATTAAAAATACGTAAAACCAATTAATGTATAATTGTTATATATATGTTATAGTGTGATACAAAGCATTAGTTATAGTATTATATTATCTGGACTTGGCTGTAATTCCAGACAATCCTAAGAAATACTTGTATCTGATGGTTGTCCTTACATATACAATATATATATATATATATACACATACATACATATACATATATAGAAAGTTGAGATTGTGTTTACTCTATCCAAATTTGAATAAAATTATATGATTATTTCTCTGGTATTTATGATTTTTTTCTTTTGATTCCAGTTTACATTGTAGTAGCATGTTGCGATATTTTTCATCAAACATGTTAACGCTATTTCTGCGATAAGATAATTTCTGTATAACATTACGTAACGTGTGACATCCTGTTTGTAACGTCATATATGTCTGACTCGATCACATATGATCCGAGAGAAAAGAGTGGTCATATTATTGATACTTTTTTATCTACTAATAAAATGTTAAAATGTTAATCTTATAATTTGAATCATATACGTGACATGCTATTATCTCTATGCTATAAGAAATGATTACATATTATATTAATTATTACTGTCTACTTATCTATAATTTTGCATCTATGATGCAAACTCATTTTCTACAAGATATATATGTGTGCGTGTATCTCTACGAAATGAAAACAACAAATTCGAAATTGCGAATATCTGTATTTATAATAAATCGGCCGTACATAAAACGGTAGAAGCTTTTGGTTTTACGCGTTCTTTCACCTAACTTAATATACAAATAAGCATGTGTGGTGCGATTATTCATGTAGGAAAGCATCCAATGTCCAAACGAATTATCAAGATTAAAAGCCGACAATACTCATACTCACACCACTCAACATGGTAACAAATTGCAGCCTCATAACAAACAATATGTCCTAGTTGTCTTTGTTCTCAACGATGCAATATTTTACATGGAACATGAAGGTTCATCATTAAAATTTGTGTGCTTACGCAAATTTTTTTGCGATCCGCATAAATTAACAGAAGTTTAAGTTCGTTAAATACTATATGTAGATACAATTGTATATGCATAAAATAGCGCTTGTTTGTTTTTATGAACTTATTGACATTTATATAAGTGTATTTAAAAAACAAAATTTAAATATTGGATCGATTGAATAATTTTTTGTTAGCGACTTTGTTTCGCTTGTAGCATAGAAAAACATATTTTCGTCAGAGCAAAAGTGAGATTGAATTATATCAGATCAGGCAGTGTCGTAAAGTGTCGAATTACGTCATTATGCTTTAAATTATGCTCTAAATCTATCGAGGGATTTATCCCAAGTGGCACGAGCTGATATATAGTTCGTTATGCGCCGTTAAAATAAATAACATATAAAATTAGCAGCACCGATTCGAACTTCTTTCTACCCTTCGATCAACCGTTACTCTGTCAGGCGCGTCTTGTGGCTCCTTGCCGTGCGTTTTGTCCAATATTGCTTCTGCTAGTTCGCTAAATGCTCGATCAATATTAATGTTCGCTTTCGCGGATGTCTCCATAAATCTAATGCCATGCTCTCTCGCTATCTGTAAGATAAAATTTTGTTTACAGAAATTATCGTGTTTTTCAAGACAAAATGTTTCGTTATTCATAATATATCTAACAAAAAATTATGTCCATAAAATATTTACCGCTTCTCCCTTTTCTGTACTGACAACGCGTTTTTCCTCCATATCACTTTTATTTCCTAATATCATTTTCTCCACATCTTCATTTGCATGCTATAGCAAATGTTTATGGTGATCATTATTATGTGATGATTATATTAACAAATTTACTTATGATACCAAAAGTTTATAAAATATATATAAAATAAATTATACTTACTTCATCGATATTTCTCAACCATTTTACAATATTTTCAAATGTTTTTTCGTTAGTAATATCATAAACAAGCATAATCCCCATAGCCCCTCTGTAATATGATGTTGTAATAGTATGAAATCTTTCTTGTCCAGCTGTATCCCTGCAAATGAATAAGCATAAAATATATATATAGATATATAAATAAAATGTATATATAGATAGCTTAAGTGTAAGATATACAATAATATATATGATGACTCACCATATTTGTAATTTGATTTTCTTTCCTCTTAATTCGACCGTCTTGATTTTGAAATCGATACCTATGAAAAAAAGCACTTTTATTTTTTTGCTTTATTAAACGATAAAATATTTTAGAATATTCCCATATATATTCCAAGTACATATTTTCCAGTTAGTATCATTACGATAAAAACTTAACAAGTTAATTACAATGCGCACGTTTTTCTGACTCTTACAATTTTTAATATTTATTAAATCGTTTTTTATATATGTACAAAAAATACATATAATTTGTACATTATTCATAAAATTATTTGTATCTTTTTTGTAACTTATACAATATTCATTTATCCTCAGAGACGATGCGTGACTCGAGTGAAACCTCGCGAAAGCAAAGTACACCGATCACCTTTCTTTTTTTACTCCGAGAACAACACTCTGGTAATGGTAATTGCAACCCGATCATTGTGTGTGTGGTGCATGTGTGTGTGTGTGTGTGTGTGTGTGTGTGTGTCGCGCGCGCGCATACACACGTGTACGAACTTTCGCACACGAAAACGAAGCGAGTCGGATTTTACGGAACGAGGCGCGACGTCCGTCAATTTTTAGATAAAGCGCCACATTCTAACCTCATCGCCGGAAAGAAAAACGCAAGCCGAATTTAGCGCTGTTGACGAAGAGAGCGAGTCTATGACTTGTCTCTACCGGCCTTTCCGATTTCGTTCCCACTTTTTCATTCTCTCTCTCACTCTCACTCTCTCTCTTTCTCTCACCTATCGTGGAAATAAAGGTGGTGGAGAAGGCATCGTCCGAGAAGCGAAACAGTATGCAGGTCTTGCCGACGCCGGAGTCGCCGATGAGCAGCAGCTTGAACAGCAGATCGTACGTCTTCTTCGCCATTTCGTCGCCGAGGCTGTCCCGCGTCGAGGAGTAGGCGCCGTGGAGGAGAAGGAGGCGGAAGAGAAGGAGGAGGTGGAGAAGAAGGAAGAGGAGGAAGAGGTGGCGAAGGAGGAAGTAAACAGAGTAAAACGAGCACGGGGCTGCGGTGCAGCCGCGGTGATTCGCGGTCGGCTAAGTTGTTGCGATCAACAGCGACGATTCCTCCACGCGATGCGCCGATGCTCCGTACATCGAACGTTACGCACCGGTTATAGTCGCCCAAGGTCGAACGAGGGCGCGTCTCCCGACGAGCCGCGACGTATGTATGTGGATG